CGGTACTGCTCTGTCCTGTTTTCAAAAATCTAACCTGGATGATTCTGGAACTGCCATTGCATGAAATCCTGACTGCTGCTGCTCGTGTCTGCAGTTAGAACCAGTGCAGCTCAGGAACCCGTCTGTCTGAAGTTCTCACAACTCACCTCTGTGTCTCCATTGCCCCCCAGTAACCTGCCAGATCTCAGGAGCCTTCGCAGCCCCGACTGTTAGGGATTAGCAGAATTATTTGTTGCATTCAAGTTACAAAATGCATTGTTTATTCAGCAGGAAGAGGCGCATGCAATGGATATAGAACCAGGTTCTTTCTGCCCGTACACATCAGGGACTGAGATCTGTTGAGAAAGTTCCTTCAGCTGGTTGCCCAAGAACTGCTTTCCGAAGCCCGTTGTACTGAGTTGGATTAACCAGCATATTCAATTGATACACCCTGATACATCTGATTTTTTTGTTGACAGGCATCATGTATTTCACTAGTATGGAGATTACATACAGATCATCACTTCCCAGAGATATCAGCAGACTGTCTAGTTAATTAAACCTAATTATGTCAGTGCATGCAGGAGTCCTGTGAGCATCACATTGCTGTTCAGTTAGCAAAAAAACCCTTCTTTTTTCTTGAAAAATGTTGGCTGTCTGCAATACACAGCCGCTGGCAAATGGTCACAGGAAAAAGGTTACTTTAAATCATTACCTGATTAAAATGGTTAGGCTTCTGGGAATGAGGAAAAGTGGGTAATAATAGCGTTGACTTCCGTCATTGAAAACCTTACCAGCTGTTATTTGTTGTAGGTTTCAGCAACTTTTGCAGCAAGTTTAGTGACCAGCCCTGCTATTGGTGCCTACCTCGGTCGAGTCTACGGAGACAGCCTGGTCGTGGTGCTGGCCACAGCCATCGCCTTGTTAGACATCTGTTTTATTCTGGTTGCTGTGCCGGAGTCGCTGCCGGAGAAGATGAGGCCAGCGTCCTGGGGAGCCCCCATTTCATGGGAACAGGCAGACCCTTTTGCGGTAAGAGATTTAAATATGGCACATTTTATTACTTGCAAATGTTGAGCTTTTGAGACGGGGAAGAGTCTGTCTACGTTACTGCATTTCAAGCTTGAAAAACAAAGCCCATGGCTTTGCAAGTTTAACCATGTGTGTCAGTGGTAATGCTTTTGCCAACAGTCTTGCTAAACACTGAGGGGATGTTTTGGTGGTACCACGTAAGAGCTTCACTAACTGTTGTGCTTTTTGGATTCTTGCTGGATGTGTGTTTTTCTGAATATGAAGACTAAATGTTTTCCAATACTTTTTTTCTTGCCATAGTCACTGAAGAAGGTCGGCCAGGACTCAATTGTGCTGCTAATCTGCATAACAGTCTTTCTTTCCTACCTCCCGGAGGCAGGTCAATATTCCAGCTTCTTCCTATACCTCAGACAGGTAATTTAACGTTTTAACATGGATTTGAACAGAAGTAAAATGCTAGGAAAGTTTTCAGTATTGCTGAATTAATACAGAAAGTATAGATCACTGGTGTAATTTAAAAGCTTCCAGCAGCTGATTTAAGTCCTCTTGCTCTTCTGTTTTTCTCTCGTTTTAGAGAGACAAAAAGAGAGGAGAGAGATGCATGAGTTATAAACCAACTTCTCATTTTTTGTAATTATTTGCATTATTCTTGGACTGTGAGGTTCACTGTTAAACTGTTAGGATTATTTGGGATTATTTAAGAGAACCGTTTCTTATTTTCTGTTTATGCCCCTTTATTTTTGGATACTTACTTGATTTATTTAAAAAAAAAAAAAAAAAAAAAAAAAACAAACTTTTTTCCTAAGTTAGGGAGGGGTTGAAAAATACTCCTCTTCTGCATCACGTG